AGGCTGAGTGGGAAGGAGTAATTTAATAATATAATATCATCTACGTGGGATTGATGAAAAAGTAAAAATCCCCTGGCAGTGGCAGCAATATTATGTACATAGCATAAAATAGAGAATGTTAAAGAACAGTTTTACAGCTGATGAGCATTTATCCAAAGTCAGATAATTTAAAAAAAATTTATTCTTTTGGCCTCAAGAGACGAACAGCAATGAAGGAGTATATACAAATATACAAAGGGAGTATGTGTTGTATGGGACTCTTATGAAATACAACTTGTAACATATTGACTAAACCAATAAGAGATATCACAATATTTACTGTGTCCACTTAAACAGTTTAAGACAATTCTTCATACAAGTCATTTGGGTGTGTCAAAGATGAACATAAACCAGCCTGTCTGTTACTGATACTTGCAATGGTTAAACAATATGCAGGCACAAGGACAACCTCTGTACTTGTGCTGGAAGCCTGTATTTCCCCTTAACACTGCAGTGCTCTTTACTTTTTGCTGAACAGGGTTGAAAACAGAGGAGTGGAAGCACAGTCCTTAGAAAAGACACCCTCATTCTTTTAACACCTTGTCCAAAATAAAGCCACTTTTCTTTCTGGGGTGTGTGTGTTTTTGTTGCACTGTTATGTTTGTCTGGTTGTTTGTGGGGAGTTTTGGTGGTTTTGTTTTTCTTTCTTTGGGAGTGTATGGGCTTTTTGTTTGGCTTTTGATTTTTTTGTTGTTGTTGTTTTGTTGTTCTGGGTTTTTTTTCTTTTGTTCCCTCTTGGTACATGCAAAGGACAGAGTCTGCTGGCAGCACAAAGAAGTAAGAAGTGACAGCTTTGGAAAACTGGACAGCTCAGGTACATGGCAGTAAAGTCTGAATAGTGACAGCCTTTTACAAAAACTTGATGAAACAGGAACTTTTGGAAAGTTCAGTTTCATCATATATCTCCATTCAGGGAGATGAACAAAATTAATCTCATGTGCTGCAAACAGCTCAGTACATTATTGTGGTGGGGAACTGTCAGCTTTAAATCTAAGTGGCTCAGGACACATGCAGCTCTTAACATAGTTTTTTGCTGTGTCTAGGATGTGGTATGCACTAGAGAGAGATAGTTCACCTCAAGAGATGATGTGGTTTATGTGGGAAAGGCAGAGAAAAAGGACAGACAATATATGCACAATAATTCCTCCAGTGCCTGTGTTGACTGTTTTTCTTTCAGGAGTCATGTCAGAAGAGGATGTGAGAAGGAAGAAAGCCCATCAGCTGTAAGCAACATGAAAGTTGTTGCACTGCGTGGAGGTGGTGAAGACAAAGTCTGCAGAGAAGAGACCTCAGGTTTTCACAGGAGAAGAGGTTAGCAGAGAAGAGCAGGAGCTGAGTGTCTTTTGGGGAAGTCAAGTGGTTGATGGGTGCAGACTTTAGGGTTAGAGATATACAAATTCAGTCGAAAGCACTGGCTGGTTACACAGAGTGAGAAACTTCTGGATATGGCCTGGACACATATATGTCAGAATAAAATCTGACAGACTCGAACACCCACAGTCATGGGAATCCTGAAAACAGCACTGAGACAGGGGGAGAGAGTGGAGGCTCACTGCGATAGGACCATGGTAAATTTAGGGATTAGAGAGAGTCAGAAACCCAAAAGGCAGGATGGTGAGTTGGGGATGTAAAGATAGAAGGAAATAGCACTCAGAAAATATGTAGAAGTGATGAGGGGCTGAATAGGCAGGTTTGTATGAACCCTGTTGTAAAGAGGGAGGATTGGGGAGGAAAAACCTTTGAAGAAATATAGGAAGAAAGGTAGGAAGAAACTATACAAGGGGAGCATTGGGGAAAATAAGACTTCGAGGATGAAAGATGTTTTAGAGAGGCCAAGGAAGATGGATGTAGGTTGAAGGTCTTGCATACACCATTAACAGCTTGCTGGGAAGAGCACTGCAGAGTGTGGTGTGGCTGGGCTTGGTCCAGGATCGGTATGAATGGCAAGTTGCTATGGAAGAAGTTAAAGTTTAGGAAATGCCTCCAAACCCTTTGTAAATTCAGCAAATACTTCACACAGAAAAAGAAATGTAGTTGCCAAGCAGTGGTGCCAGACTAGCAGAAGTTTTTATTTCCATGAGATGACAGGTAATTTCTGATCAAGTTAAGTTGTTTAAAGTAACAAATCCTTTAAATTGTTCCTGACTTTGAGCATGAAGAAAATGTACAGGACATCTTTATCAGTCTAGTGGCATTTGTTGGAAAACATAGCTCTGTGTTTAGCTAATGACTTAATTAGAAAAGCAGTAGTCAGCTGGCAGTGAATGGTGAGTCTTTATTTAACAGGGAAGCATGAAAATTAGCCATCCATCTGGTTTTTCCTGTTAATTACCTCTAAATATTAAAACTGAATACTGTCTTCAACCTGATCGGTAGTCTGAATGGTAATAGTGGAGATCAGATACTAAAAAAAGACATTAGTAGAAATTATGATGCAGCTCCTGTATTTTACAGCTTTCACACCTGACTCTGAAACATTTCTACCTACCTACAACAGCTGCTGTGGAGGTCATGTTCACCATTTCTGGTCCTTCAGACATGCTTTTGGATTTAAATGAGCATCAGTATAGATGACACAATTAACTGAGCTGTTACTTTTCCATGATAAACATGACTGCACACTGCATGCCGGCAGTGCGCATTTACTTTTCCCTTCCTGATCATTACTGTAGCTGGGCACCCTTGTATCAGGGATCTTGCCAAAAGGACAGCTAGAAGATTACTCTCTTCTAGCAACAACTGCCTGTGTGTCCTGTCTTCCCTGCTATAGTCACCTTGTTTGGGGAAATTGTGCACAATCCTTGTTCTTTATTAACCATTTCTATTGAGCTTGCTGAAAGGAAAAAACCAATTATTCTGCAGCAATTTTCACAAACACTACTTTTTATTTTAATTCCCGGCTATTTTTTTTTTTTCCTAATAGCATATGTACTCCAGAGAACTGCTTTGGAAGTTTAATAAATAGGCAGGGTCAGGCCACTCTTCCCCAGCTTCAATCAACAGTTTGCAACTCCAACAAGTTGCAAAAAGGAAAAACCATAATGGATCTCTGTGCTTCCTCACTAGAAGACAGTTTCAGTGGCTGAGATTTTTCCATCCCTCTTTTTAGATGTTAATATGAGCTAGTATGGAAGCCAAAGGCAGCTGGAGGAGGCAGCTGTGACAATAGATTCAGAAGGGCAGCTGGAGATCAACCTTCCAAACTCAGGCATGGAAAACTTGGAGTCCTTAAAGCAGAATCCTACTGCCTATGGGTAAGCACTAGGTCCCATTTTTGTCACCTTCGGACTTGATTTACACTCAGCTTGTAGCTCTGCATCTTTCCAACTGTACGCTTTCTCTCACCAATAAGGATGTCATTTCTCGGCTCCATCTGCAGTTTATTACTCACATGTTACTTATACTTCCTTGACTCTTGATAAGAAAAATGACTGTCATCTTGTAAATTCTCAAAACAGTTTCCAGAGATGGCTTCCAATGCTGTTACAACACTTTTTCTACCTCTAAGATTTGTTTTGATGGATTTGGAGCTGCCATGCTATAGTTTACTGTTATTGGATGTCAGGTTGATGTATGTGGTATTTTCTATATGGTATATTGGTATATTCAAAAAGAGTTTGTCCAGGAAAATGGAGAGGGAAGAAAATTATGGTGCAAGGTAAGTAATCAGTATTTAAATGGAGTTCAGGATTTGCTAATGGACAATAACAGATTCTCAACTTTGATATTGCCCCTTCCCATCCTGATTTCCACAGTATCTGAACCAGGACATTTTAAATTCCATAAGCACAGAAGACAGGATACAAGGGACTCTCTGTCATGTCTGTCTCTCAAGACAAGGAAAGTAACTCTGTGAAGGACTCCCAGAACAAGAGGTCCTGCTAGAGGACCTGATCACAGGTTAAGCTGACAAGAATGTCATTGCAAATTGTAAGATGATGAGAAGGCAGATGTGCAGACTACTATGTAAAAAATTATTTTGTCTATTTTTTTCTGCTCTTCAAACAGAAAATAATTTGGTTTTAGATGATATTTCTGAATTTCTATATATTTGTGGCCTGCTGAGAAGATATCCAGTGGTTTAAGTCAGTGGAGTAAGATCAATCAATCCATGGGGTTGCTGTGCACTGCAAGGTCCAGGTAAATTGTGGCAAAAGTGAATAATACCATCCCAGAACTAACCAAGGCACAAGGCCTGAGCCCTGAAGAAGTATGATTAGTGGTATCAAAAATGTGACCAGTCGGATGTGCGGCTGGTCTCACGAGTGTGATACTTGCTAGCTGCATCCTCTCAATTGCCCAATACTTTGACCATAAATCTGGAATCTTACACAAAAAGAGCCACTTAAGTAATTCCTTTGGAGTACAAAATGGAATCCATTTTTAGCTGGAATGAACTGAACTTTGCTTTGTGTTTTGGGAGTGTATTCCTGAAGAATTCCTGGAAATGGTTGTTATTTTCCTTCTAAATGGCTGTTACAGTTTTCTCAGAACGCCACAGTAGAGATGTGTTGTTTAGCTGTCCTGACCATGAAGTGTTTATTAATTTTTGAATACATACTTATGGGGTTCAGTTTATAAGCCTTTATATTTCTACAGTGCATGACAATTTAGACATTTCATTCTGAAGTGGAAAAAGTATAAAAGTGAATACTGTTGTTTGCTTCTCAAAACACTGAGTACACACTTAAACTCTTAACTCGTCTTAAACACGAGTATCTAATAGTTTCCTTTTTTTGTTGTTTCATTGCTAAAAAATCTTTTCCTTTGTAGAATAAATTTATTTCAAACTTTTTACCGTGAAGGTAAAAACCAGCAGAATGAATTACAGGCTAAAGACAAGTCAAGCAAATAGGCAAACATGAAAATCCCCTTTAACGAGGGAAATGATGGCAGAATCAAATTATTTTGCTCATTCTTAAGGCCAGGAGTCATGTCAGCATCATCATCTCCCAGTACTTTTAAGTATGTTCTCGACACCTGATGAGCTTTCTAAAGGCCAGCTTGAAATCTTCGTTAAAGCTAGTGTACAGCAAAGGGTTGATAAGGGAGTTGACATATCCAAGCCAGGTCAAGAAGTCTGCTACTTCTGGAGAGACAGTGCAAATGTGGAGGCCCACAAGCAGCTCCTTGATGAAAAAGGGCAACCAGGACAAAATGAAAGCACCTAAAATCAGCCCCAGAATGCGAGCAGCCTTTCGTTCCCGTGTCGTGGAGATCTGCTGCCGGTCACCAGGCAGGTCCAAGTCATTCTCAAAAGGAGGGATCCTCACAGATGCATTGATTTTATCAAACTCCGTGGTTGGGTCAGATGTGGAGAAGTCCGAGACACAGAATGTCTGTGTGAGCTTGCAGCTGGCAAAGGAGTTTTGGCTGTCGGTGCTCCTGTTGCTGAGGTGGCGGCTTGAACCCCGCTTTTGGTAAAGGCTCTTTGCAGCATGGTAAATTCTGTAGTACAGGATCAGGATCAAAGTCAAGGGGATGTAAAATGCCCCAAATGTGGAATAAATAGTGTAGACGACATGGTCGTGCTTAATGCGACACTCGCTGGGAATACTGATGCTGTGGTGATTTCTCCAAAACAAAGGGGGCATTGAGATGAAAATGGAGATAGTCCACACGGTGACTATCATCAGCCCAGCCCTCTTTGGCGTTCTTTTCCTGGCATATTCGATAGCATCTGTGATTGCCCAGTACCTGTCCAGAGCAATGACACACAGATGAAGGATTGAACATGTGCAACAGGTCATGTCGACGCTAAGCCAGATCTCACAGATGAAGTATCCCAAAGTCCATTTATCTATCATTATGTAAGTGATGCTCAAGGGCATGACAAGAACAGCAACAAGGAGATCAGTCACAGCTAGTGAACATATTAAATAATTTGCCGGTTGGTGGAGCTTCTTGGTTGTGGAGATTGCTGCAATTACAGCAGAATTCAGCAGCATAGTCAAGGTTGTGATTGTGGCCAAGGTCAGGGTAATGAGCATCTTTTCAGTTACTGTTTTTGGCTTCGCAGCCACGTTGGCTTCAGTGGTGCAATTTGTGAAATTCATTTTCCCCTCCAGGATGCACAGTGAAAGAAGTTGCTGCTTCAGGTAATGAAGAGTTCCAGGTTCAGAAGTCACCCATTTGGAAGAGAGACAGAGATGCCTCAGATGCAGTTTTTTAAAACTATTATTTTATAATCCCATATTCAACAAAGCAGCAAAAAGATTCCAGGTTTCCTTCTGATCATTGTTTTCCTAAGAAGACAAAAACACATCTGTTAGTGAACCTAGAAAAATCCCACCTTTTGCCAAAAAGTCATACGCTTTTAGAATTACCATTTCAAATAAAAATTTTGGTGTTTCCTTCTCCTCTGCTGCCTTTTCTCCCCTTTTTTTCTCCACAATTCATAGTTAATTTCTTTTTCTTCTCCAAAGAGCACTTTAGGCCAGGTTTCCTACTGCTCTGGTTATTTCTCCTTTGGTTTTGGATATCTCCCTTCAAGTAGGAGGTTGCACTTAAGTGACCTCCAGAGATCCCTTCCAACAATCATTTCTATGATCTCTGTGAATTACTGATACTAGGAGCTACTCCTTTTCCTGCTTGTTAAATAGGCTTCAGCAGATGAAGAGCTGAGGAAATCTGCCTTTTCATTTTGATTGCTATATGAGAGGGCTTGATTACATCTATATATCATCTTTGGAAAAAAGAAAGAGCACTAATCTCAGCGAAGGCATGCCAGCATTTCATAGTTTTCTATTCTGCTTTTTCGTATCCATGTCTAGATTAACATCTTGGAAACAGTACTTAAAAATTACTCAGGTTACCTTTAACATGCATCTTTCAAACAATGTTTAAAGCTTTATGGCAAACGTTTAGTTTTACACAGCACATCAGTGTTGCTAGGAGCTTATATAGTTTTGTCTAATTATTCCCGACATTTCACATTTCCCACTGTGTGTGTCTTTAGGGGAGACAGACAAAAAGCTTTTGCCTTTGCTTTGAGCTTTCTATCAAATTGTGCTCCCTGTCAGGCAGTCCAGTATACTGCAAGGTACAAAAAGAAAAAAAAATATTAAAAAAAGGTTTAATTTTGTGTCAGGAATTCATATGTCTTTTCCATACATCCCAAATGCTGACTTAAGCCAGAGACAGCAGTCTGTCAGATGCCACTTGGGATACCCTTTGGGTCCTTGTTTACTCATTTGTAATTTATTTTGGCACAAAGGATGTAGAAAACTGAAAGCCTGAATCCTTTTCCATTAAAATGAACAGAATGATTCCTTCCCCTGGCTTCATTTTTTGAAGAGTAAGGAGTCCTCTAGGCTAGCTGTGCAGGCTCCCTCAACAGGCAGGGGAATGAGATAGCAGCTGCCAGAAATACACTTGTCCCCTCTCAAGACACAAGTCTTTCAGGCAGATGGTGTGAATCACATCCTGGAAATGCTGATCTTTCTCTATTTTGACTACAAGTGGCTCCTCCACAGTAGAATTTAGAATGCATGACAGATTTTTAGATGGCTAAATTTGAGCCATTCTCACACCAGTGGGACTTAGATTAGGCTCTGGTGAGAGTTTGCACATACAAGCTAATGAAGAATTTAAATTTTGAATGAGGAGTTATGATCTTAAAGCTAGTCAGCTACTTAGCTCTGGGTACATATGCTCTCATTCAGAAATTGGAGTGCTGTCTCCTGAATGAGACAAATAGGGAACAACCAAAATATAAACTTTAGAATAAAACTGTGTTTTGTGGATAGACCCTAGGAAAGGAGATCTGTATCATTGTAGACTCTGGGTTAGCAAAACATGAGTTTTCAATTCTACCCGAGGCACAGCAGAAGCCTCCCGCACAGCTGACTCCACTCTTCAGACACTGCTTTAAAGTATGAATAGCCTTGGAGAAAATATGAGGACTGTTTATTAAGAATAGACTGGACAAGTCAGATGGAAATTCATCCAGCAGTCTTCAGGTTGTTACTGCATTGGAAATGTCAATTTGGTTGTTTAAGCCTAAAGCCAAAACTTCAGCTCAAACCTTCTTCCCAAATTGCTGACGAGAGTCCTCTGTGCCAAGCCAGATCTTGGTTTCATTAGTTTGCACCCTTATTATGTCTGATTCTTTGACCAGAGAATAAAGCGAAAAGGCTTTCTCTACCTCTCTGCAATCCTGGAGCACAGACCAGAAGCAATTGCAGTCTATATTGCTTTCCTTAGCCCTCTGGTCCACAAACACACTCAAAGATACTGGAAGGCACCGTGGGATTCATGTGTTCTCCACAACCACTTGCTGATCCGGTCCATGCACACAAGAGCTCTTGCTGCTTCTTGATGTAAGCGGCATTTTTTTCTATCTGTCCTTCACTTTTCTGAGAGCCCTGAAGTTTCATGGCCCAGGTATGTCTCCCCCACTGCACTCTGCTGAGCACTGCCTGTATGTATCTTTAATCCAGTAGGAACTGAATCATTGCAGTTCTCTCCCCAAGTAGCCTTTCATACCGACGTAGCCACAGGGAAATCCTTTCTGAGCTCTACCCACTCACTGCACCGCAAGGATATTCTGAAAAAGAAACTCCCCCTTTTCTCAACGAACTCATCTTTAAACAAACCCCATCACAACCACACCCAAGCACCAGGTTTCCATCAGGACAAGGGATACTGCTGATCACACAGGGGAGTCTGCACACTGCTCAGCAGGGCCAACATTTATTTCCTTGGAAAAACCACTGCAATAATTGAAGATGGGAAAAATAAAAACAAAGCATCATCCCTGCAGAACACCAGCCTGCGGGTACCTCAGACCAGGCAAGCCCATTGCTTCATGTTGAAACCCATCACTGGGGAGATAACTCAGATTTAATTCCCGTGCCCCCTTTAGGAAATGAGCCCTTAGCAATTCAGACAATATAAATACCACATACAAGAACTGTATTTAACAAACATTATTAAGGAAGTGTATTTAAATGATGACAAGTTTGAAGATACTGGGCTGAAGGCTTCGTCTGCAGCTTAAGTCTGGGCCTCTTGTCATCCCTTTCCCACATTACGAGGACTCACACTGGCATTATAACATTAATTAGTAACATTGACTGTAGTCATTGTGTTTCTTTTCTCCTCCTGTTTCCCCTTGCTGCTCCCCCTTCCAAGCCACCCTTGTTCCTTTATGATCTAATCCCAACTCCTGCCTCCCAGAGCACATGCAGTCCCTTAGCCCTCACTTTTTGCCTCCCAGCTCACCTCCCATGCCAGAGCAGCCTGAGGCTCCTGTAACCTGCTGTTGCCATCTTAGATGTTACCTCCAGCGGCTTGGCCCGGGCTCTTGCCCAGCCTTCCATAGTGCCTGTGCCCCAGCCTGTCCCTCACTGTCTTCCCTTGTCCAGCTTTTGTCTCTGCTTTTGAATTAGAAGGCACCCATATGGAGTGTTTTGGCCCGGAAAAGAGATGGGAAGTGATTTACTAGAAGATGCTAGTGATTGACCTTGCTTATTAATACAGGGCAGAATTTAAATGAGGCTTATAATTCAGTCTTTAAAAATGCAGGTGTGTTTGTGATCATGTATTTTGTAGACCTTGTATTTTGTTTGTTTGTTTACTGTCTTTGGTGGTACCTCGCAGTCCCAGAGCAGACACAAGGACCATGTAGTCCAAAACTGAACAAAAGAAGCCAGGCTGTGATTCAGGAAGGCAAAGCCTGCTAGGATAATCCCAGTGTAAGCGGTTCCCGCCACTTAGTTTAGGATTAGCTTGGGGAATTGACATTGCTTTGTATACTTCACGCTCATTTTCTGGTCTGTCCAGGGCACCACCTGAGGCTGCATAAAAGGTAGGGCTGGTGTGACTGGGACAGGTACTCATCGTGGGACACTGGGGAAGGGGCACAGGGGCTCTAAGATTTGGTCTTGTGAACACATGATATTGGAAAATTTATAGTCTAAGTGTTAGGTCATTTATGATAAACATATGTAGAGAGACTAGCTATAAAGGATCCACAGAAAAAGCCATGTATGTTAACAAGGAGAATTTTACTATCTCTAGTTAATGATAGCTGGTTTCTAGTATCTCTGTCTCTTGGGTATATTGCTTTATATAGTACTACAATCACTATAGTAATTGATTGTGGTTTTAAGAGTGACTTCTTGAAAGGGACATTAATAACATAGTTATTTAAAGTATTCTGGCTAAAAGCACTTCTATGTTTATGTTTTGCAGCTGTACCCCTTTAGACTGTCAGTCATTTCATACAGAGTGAATTTTACACACACTTGGTAGAAGAAACTCATCTGGGTTCCTCCAAATGGGAATCAATCACGTTTCATATTAGCTGATGATCAGTAATGGCATTGAGTGCTGCCTGGGAAGAGGAAAGAAGGAAGAGGATGATTAATTATTCCTTAAAAGCAACTGGACAGCTTTAAGCTGTGAGATGGCAATGTCCATGTCTGCTCCTGCCAGAAAATACCTCCACCTTCTTAGCAGAGGACCACTGTGTAGCAGAACACTCTGAATTTCTGATGGGCTGACTTCCACTCCTTGACCACTGAACTTCTCACCATTTCATAAGAATGGAATAACATCACTTGGAGAGAACAAGGGGAACTGGAATTACACACGTGTTTGAGCAGAGCAGGTTGGTTCCCTTACATCCACAGTTTTACGTTTCCTCTAAGTACTTATGGCACAGTGCAAATGACACATCTTTGTACCCTTGACAGCAATAAATTGATTTGGCTTTGTTAAACGCTGAATTGGTCTGAGTGCTTTTCACTTTCAGTACCTCCATGATCATAGCTGTGAAGGGCAAGAATCTGTGTGATGCTTTGTGAGACAGATGGTTAGCTTATGGAAAATATGACTTAGCATATTTATGAATAATGTTAATATTTCAAACTATGGAAAGATGCTAAACTTGTAATACTTATCCTTGTTATCTCAAACAGGTTGTTTCTTCCAAGTTCATATAGAAAGCACTGAAATTCAAGCTTTCCACTTCAAACTTAGTTTGCAAGATCTTGCAACTTTCTAGACCATCCTGCTTTTGTAAAGTCAGCCCATCTGCTTGGACTTAACG